GGCTTTTTTCTTTTTGCTTATGTGGTACTGAGGAATTAAACCCAGGGCCTCATGCATGCAAGGCAAGCACTCTACCACTGAGCCACCTTCCCAGCCCTGAAAGGGTTAAGTTTTAATGTCTACTCATCTTGTAGATGAAAGTAAGCAGTCAGAAGCTTAAAGCTAGAGGTCACCATTTAGCAATATTGACCAAAGGCCTTCTCTGTACCAGCCATTGTTCTAGACTCTTGAGGTACACCAGTGAACAAAACAGAGGTTCTTGGCTTTCCTCTTTGCTTTTGTGTGATTGTTTTGGGGGGTGAATAAAATAATAATAAGATAAAAATTACATATTTTTAAAAGGTGACATGTGAGACTAGGAAAACTTGTGCTTGTGAGGCTTAGTCCTAGTAAACAAAAATAAACAAAAAAAACCCCAATGAGTTTATGTTAGATTTGCAGGAATGGCTTGTTTCAGGTTTTTCTTATGCTGGGTCATGTCTATTTGTGAACTAATGTGAATATATGATTCCTATGTTACACTGAGCCTAGTCATCTGAAGTAAATTGGGAAATATATATTATTATCACTAATTCAATAAGAAATTTTGACTTGTGAAAATGGACCTTGCTACCAAGGATTATACAGTAAAAGTAACAAAAACGTAGACATAGCCTTGTAAGTCTGCTATAGCTGCCATAGTAAATTACCTGGCAGGGGAGATACCATGAGCAAAATAACAGACTGGATGGCATAAACCACAGAAACGTATTTGAGGCTGGTAAGTCCAAGGCAAGGTATCAGAGCTTAGGTTTCTCCAACAGCCTTTCCTTTGGTTTGTAGGTGGGCACTTTCTTGCTGTATATAATCTGTGTGTATGATATATACTGTTGGTTCTGTGTGTGTGTGTGTGTGTGTGCATGTGTGTGCACATGGGCGAGCGTGTGTGCACGTATGTGTGTGTAATTAGAGAGATTTGTTTTAGGATAGTTATAGTGACTAGCAAGTCCAACATCTGCAGTTAAGCCTAAGGACCACTTCTGCTTCCTCTTGGCAGGTTGGTCTTTTGTTCTACATGACCTTCTGCTGATCAGAAGGATTGTACCCATGTTAGGCAGAGCAATCTGCTTTTCTGAGTCTACTGGTGTGAATGTTAATCTCCTTCCCTAAACACTCTCACAGAAATGTTTGACTGTGTATCTGGGCACTATGGCCTGGCCAAGGTGATATATAAACTTAACCATCACATTATGCATTGCTGATGTTATTGACCCGAGGACTCATTAAACTGACACTCATTTGAGGTACATGAGTCCTTTGTTAGGATCATTACTCTACCCCCTTACTTTGACTCCGAGATTGTATTGAGAAGTACTCTCCTAAAATGTACACTTTTCAGTTGATTACAAACCAATATCTGTTAGAGATACTGTCAGTTGTCTACAGAAAGCTATAGTTTATACTACTGAACATTCTTCTGATGTGCATGCTAAATTTCCATAAGATTGTTTTCTTCTGGTAAAAAGTTCATGTAGAGAACAGAAACAAACTGATATTCTTTGTAAAAGAACAGTAATCTTGCCACTTTGACTTTCTTGGTGTTTGTTTTGAACCAAGTTTTAGAGAGCTTAAGACAGATTTTCTCATTCTCTGAAATACGTAAATGATCTGCTTCACTAGCTGATGGGTTAATTAAGAAAATGGAACTAGGTAATTATTCTGTAGTGTGTATATAGTAACTTTCTTTTTATTTCTATATTGATCTGCTTTTACATATATGATTTTTAACTCTATTGAAACCTTTTTAAAAAATAACCCCTAAGTGAAATTTCATTTACACAGCCTTTTATGTTTTAGAAATGACATCTTTTCAGAAAGTACTACTTCAACACTTACATCTGAAGAAAATGAAAGTCACTTTGAAGATCACATTTTATCCTCAGATGAAAAACTATGCTCAGGGACCAGTGAGAGAGATTATCAAGTAAACTGCTTTTGCAAAAGTCGCATGCCATTTCCAGGTGGTGCCAGCTCATCTTTGTCACTGTTTAATTCAGAAGTAAAGGAGAAATTTCAGAACCATAGAGAATATTCAGAAAATGAATATGAACAAAACCATTTTTCTTCAAAGGCATTATTTTCCATAATGAAAACCAACAAAAATAAGAAACCAGAGTTTTCTTCTGATCTTAGTTTATCAAAAACTTCTAAATCCAGCATAGAAAATGAGGATCTCAATGTGGCACCATTCCCTCCTGCCCACTTAGTTCTCTCTAGACACCAAGTTAGACTTCTGGAGGAAAATGTGAGACATCGAATTTCTTTAAAACCCAAATTTATACTACAGACTAAACATCATTATGTATACCCAAGATCTCAGGAGAACTTTGAACATTCTCTTGAACTAGAATCACGAAATTCTTTTCCAGAACAAAGCGCTATTCAGAATCAAGGGTTTTATGATGCCCGATTTGCTAGTCAAGCCCAACAATTTATTTATAACCAAGAATCAGTCAACGATCGGCCTAATAACCCGGTAAACTATTTTTATCAGCCTCAAGATTTGCCGGTGAAACCATTCTCCAACAGCACACAAGGCTCCTTTCAGACCCAAGACATGAACAGGAGCCAACATTCCATCAAAGTTCCATGCATTATTGAAATAAGAGATTTACTCAAAGGCGGAGAGGCTAATGAATACTTCGGTGATGCCCAAAATTCTGCTTGTTTTAAAGATTCAAACAAGATTAAATGTCCCATCAAGGAGCAAAATACTGGCTTTCAGAATGCTGAATTTTCAGCCTTAAGTCCAAAATCAGTTGCTAAAGATATGCCACAACTGAAGAAGAAAATGCCAAAAGGCCAGGGAAAACTTGCTTCATCTGAATTAAGTCAGTATTCTGTATATAGCGCAATGCCTTGTATGCCTACCGTTAAAGAGCAGAAAAACAGAAAAAAATCATCATATAATAAATGCAAACTCAGTGTTAAAGTTCCATCTCTGAAAGCAAAGAAAACACCAACTTCATGGGTGTCTCAAATCATAATGTGTCACACTTCAAAAAATAAGAATGAGTTAGGATGGAAACATAACATTGAAAAAGAAGAATTACATCTTATGTCTGTCTCTAAGCTTATTATTCCGTACATTGAAAAGCATTCTAGAAAAAATCTAGTGAAAGTCCTGCCAGATGTAATAAAATGTGACTATTTTGTAAAGAAACAAAATAAGTCACCAGATGTAGAGAAAACCAGTTACACGGGAATGTCAGACATTATTGAAAATTTAAAGCAATATGGCAGAGAAAATACAGCACTACAAAATACTTCATCAAAAGTGTTACCTCAATTCGGACACTCTTTCATGATCAATGCTGATAAACTAAAAGCACCTTATTTCTTATTAGCAGAAGTAAACAGGAAAAGCAAAAAACTTCCTGAAGTCCCTATTGAGCAAGCATTTCACCTGGATATTCTAAAGCATGAGATACCTTCCGAAGAAGCTATGTCAGAATCTCGACAGAAATTTACCTCATCTCTAGAAATAAAAATGAAGGAAGATGTACAAAGTGCAGAGAACAGAGAAGAGCTACCAGCTAGTACACCAAACCTGCAAGGGGACTTCCCAAAAGAGACTGCACAGAAACAAGAAGATTTACTGAAAATTGTTCTGGAGTTCTCAGATGTCAATTTGCTTATTTCCTTAAGACCCCCAAACCGTAAAAGCAGTGAAGAATTACAAGGCATAAAAGTGCAAGCAAATACTGAATGTGTAAATCCAAAGAAAAGTATACCATTGTCTCCCAATATTACAACACAAAATGGTAACCTAATTGAACATGAGGAGCTAGAATTCAACACCAGAAGCAGTATAAAAAATATGCATCACACTAACAGCACATCTGATGCATTTCATGATACCACATATGCTACCATTTCACAAACACCCGATACAGAAATGCATAGCAGGTCAAGCGACAGAAGGGGTACATCAACAGTTAGACTTAGTAATTCAGTGTTAAAACAAGATGAACTAGAACATGAAAAGGAAACAGAGAAAGAAAAATGTATTGATGAAAGCCCTATAGTTAAAGAACCACAAGACTGTGACAGAGAGGAAGACAAACAAAGAGCAGTTTCACCACTGTCACAAGACCTCAGGTTCAGCATTGATAAAAAGAAGAACAGTAAATGTGTCAGATTTAACATGGAACCAATCAGTTTAGGAAGCAAGTCGATTCAAGATAAAGAGCAACAAGTGTATCCACAAATTCCTTCTACACAAACTGCTTCAAGGGCTGTTCCAAGCCCTATCACTGATCAATTGCAAGTAGAGAAAATGAAGCAAAACCCATCCAAACCCACCAGCAGAGAAAATGCTATTGATCCTGTATGTCCACTTATGCCAGAGAACTTGCCGACTGGCAAATATTCAATTGAAACAAGAGAGAACTGGGTCCCCTCTGGTGAAAACCTCAGAAAGAAATTAGACAGTCGTATGGCACAAGAGAAGGAAGATTTAGAAAGGGATTTATCTTCAGTTGCCATAGAATCTTTTGAGACCAGAAAAAAATGGTTAAGAACAAAAAATTCACTCATCAGACAAGTGATTAGGAAAGTAAAGAAGCCTGCAATTTCACAGATGCTTTATCTCAATAGACGTGACACTTTTAGCCATAGAAGAAAATTGAGAAATAATGCTGAAATTATCATTAAACAAATGCTGCAAGATAAAAGTTTGTCAGATGCGCTTCTGAATGCTTACCCTCACGTGTCTATTTTGCCTGATACTGGAATGCATACCAGATTAAATGCAGAGAATTACTGTTATATTGAGTTAACACAAGGAAAACCCCAACTTGACAGTGAAGGAAAGCATTTGCATTCCTTTTGTGAGGAAAACACATCCCCAAACACTCTGGAAGCTCGATTACAAGAGGAAGTGAAATTGGTAGAAGAAACTCAACCAAAATTAGCCCCTCATGATAGTGGGATCTTCAGATATGACTTGGCCACCAAAATGAAAGATATCTATCAAGGTAAAGAAGCAACAGATGAAATGTGCTCTTTAACAGACACCAATACGATTAGCCAGACAGAAACAGAAAAAGGAATACCAAGAGAAACACGATTCATGTCTACACAAGGAAAGCAAGAAGGCAGTATTACTTCAGACGACGTCCAAGAAAGCAACTTTCAAGATGAAGAAGAAAGAGAACAGGAGATGTTATTAAAAGTAATTCCACAGTCCAACCAACATCTTGAATTCTGTTCGGGTACAGGGAGAGATCTGAACTTTTACGAACCAAAGAGCCAAGTAAGTAGGAAAATTCTGTATGTTCTAGAACAACCTGCCGATCTGGTGCAAGGAGAGGAGCTGAGGAAAAGCATCCAGGCACAAAATGACACAATCGGTACAGTAATTGCAAAACTTCCCCCTCTGAAATCAGAGGAATCACTAACTGACGCAATTTTAGTTGGTACAACAACATATGATGCATTGCCGAATGAGAATCATTTGGCAGGTGTACTACACAATTGGAATGGAGAGGAAAAGGTAGAGTTTAGAAGTGACCTACAAACAACTATTCTGGGATCTATGAATCTCTTCAAATCTGATCTACCTGAATCTACTAGGCAGAGAAAAACGTTTACTTGTAAAGCCTTAAAAAGCAAGAGTCCCACATGCATAATTATGAAGGTAAAAAAGCCATCAATTTCAAAGATATTTAATATTCCACAATGTGGTTACCGCAAATATCTACCTCCAAAGACCTTAAAATCACAAATTGTTGAATTTTTAACGTGCTCCAGAATCCTATCTGATGGATTTTATATGATTGTACTGGAAGCAGAGAAACAAAAAGGATTAGCACAAGAACTACCAGCAGTTTCAGAGTCTTTGACTTTCTCCCCCCATATTTCACCTGCACCTAAAATAGAGAGAGGCATTTTAGCACTTACGGACAAACGACCTAAAATGAGTTCCAACTGTGTAGCTTTAAAGGCAAAGAAGGCACCAATCTCCCAAATGTTTAATATCATAGGATGCAGTACACCAAGCTACAGAAGGCCGTTAAAATGCAGCTCCAAAACCAAGATCAAACAAGGTAAATTGGTGGGAGATCTATTTCTAAACGCCATTTCCTCTGCCACACCTCAAGCTGAAACAATGGAAAAGGACCCTCGTTCTAAGGAAGAATTAAGCAGTGTAGCAAGTCTAAAGACTTTATTGCCAAAAGCAGAAGAATCAGAGATTGGCTTAATATTATGTGATGCATCTTGGGATGGAAATCTTGGAAGAAAATGGGATAGTACCATTTCTGAAAAAAAGTCACAGAATCAAAAGGACTTAACAGCTCTAAAACCTTTAAGTTTTTCCAGTCTTGTGTCAGCTGAATCTAAAAGTGAGAGCTATACATTCGAACGTGTACGCAAAAAATGTAGGAGGCCCAGGCATAAAATGTTGGGGGCAAAACAACAAAGATATCCTACAGGAGGCCATAGAAAGAAAAAGCAACACAAAATTAAGTACCAGGAGGGTGAGAATCAGTGGTATGCAGGTGTGAGAGAGTCATTATTCAGTGCCATGGAATATTCCAGAAGTCCATCATCCAAACTGATGATGGATAAACGATCATTTGATACAACAACAAAAAGGGACACTCTACCTAAAAAAACTGTGAGTAATCGTACTACAGTAGAAAAGGAAAAGGTACAAGAACACATTGCCCCAAGTTGCTTGAGATCTATAGATTTTTTTATATCTGTTTTGTCTAACTCCAAAAGCAAGGGAAATACAAGACAAGTATTGAAAAATGAAATTATAGTGACTCTCAGATGTTTAACTGGGAAGGAAAAGAAGCCATCAGTTTCACAGATACTTAAAACCAATGGACACTTTATCATAAAACATAAGAAGAAATTCCAACTCAATTTAAGAAGCAAAATAAAAGCCATGGGGCAAATTAAAAATGTGACGGACACATTTCTGAATACCACTGACTTCATGTCAGATTTCTCTGACATGACAAGGCAAAATCAATTAAAACCAGAGATAGCTATGGAACAGTGGAGGCATAGCTATCCACAGTTTTCACAAGCAGCATCACCAGTTGAAGGCCGAGCAGAATATTCTGATTCCACGAACAAGGGTGATACTTGCAACCCGTTAAAGGAAGTAAAACTACATAATGGAGAAAGTGGAGGGGAAAAGCAAAAACCATTCATAGAAACTGGTCCTTCCCACACGAGCAATTTAACAGTAAATGTACAGCTCATAAAGGAATCTGAACCTGACAAGTCAGAGGACATGATTTTAGGAGAGCCTTTTTTCTCTGAAAGCCAGATTTGTGAAATGAATCCAGAAATAAATGTAAAATTAGAAAACAACAAAAATGTGCAAGTAACTGTCAAAGTTGGACTCTCAAAGGTGGAAAAATCACGTGTTTGGGCAAAACACAGTGAGCCAACAAATGATGCTGCATCTAGAAAATATGATAAGAAAAAAATGGACAACTCTGATTTAAAAGAAAAATTTCCATACCATTTGGCAGGAATTGTAGATTCTGTTGACAAGCAGTTATCTGCTTCACAAGAAATTAAAAATTTGGCAGATAACCTAAAAATACCCGAAATGTCAAGTGCTAAAGTTATACCTTCACAAGTACAACAACCAACACTTTTATGGTCGCATAATACTGTAGACCATTCTACTGTAACCATTAATAAAAAGCAGAACTCTAAAGCTAGAAGCATAAAAGTAGAGAAAAATAAAGCTGAATTAAATGCCAATGTAATATCAACACCTGCTTCTATGCCTACTCTACAAAATATGAAAACAGAGCAATCATTTAGTATATCGGATACATACGAAAGACCTTCTAAAACCAGAAATGCCATAACCAAAACAAAAGTTGGAGAGAAAAAGGCATATAAAAAACAGGTTATGTTTAACAGAACGCTACAGAATAGTCAGCCATTTGAGTTTAGAGTAGTACAAATGAGAAACTCCGAAGCACCTTTAATTAATAGAGTATTCCCCAAGAACATTCCTTCTCAGAAAACAGATATTAATTTAATGGGTCAAAATACAGAGTTAAAAGTTGGAAAACAGTTTATTCCAGAGACTGTTCTTTTCTCTGAGATTCATCCTATTCAAAATGAAAAGCAAAATGAATTTAAAACAAATCCCAAAAATCTTGTCCCACATAAGAAACAGCAAGAGTTCTATATCCCAGAAGCTATCTGGAGTTCCACTTGTGCTTACATTACTATGCATCCTAAAATTATAATATCTAAAGATAAGGCAAAAACAGATGATGTGAAAAACCCTCTACCTATCAGACAGAAAAAACGGAAGGCAAAGAAAAGACCAGTTTCTCAGTGGCTTGGATTTGGTACTGGAAGCAATAAAAAAGGACGAAGAGTTAGCACACAGCAGCCGAAGGCAGTTCTACTGAGTAAAAATGTAGCAAATCTAGTTCTTGAAGGTCATTTTGACTCTGGATGCCTTAGGTCTCAGTATAAAACACTTGCAGAAATAAAAATGAAGCAAGATAAGTTGAAAGAGGGGGAAAGCATCCTCTTACATCTAAAGATGGATAAACTACTAAATGAAAGGCCTACGTCGTCCTCAGGATGTGTCAATGTATCCAGAATCATTGAAAAACTGGAAGAAAATGTGGGTCACCAAGACATTTTAGCAGACATTCTCCAATGCTGTATACAACCATTACAAACTGGGTCACGACAATCAAAAGCGCTTCATCATGACAGGTTAGATTTACAAAGAAAGGTGCACTCTGAACCTGTTTCACAGAAAGATGGAACCAGTCACATTCTGGGATCCATATCATCTCCCCTACTGGGTCGAACTCACACTGGAAAGCCAAAGGAAGACGTGAAAGGAAAAAGCATACATCAAGATGCAAAATTCCTTAGCCTGCAAGTAAATGAAGCATCCTATAGTTCAAGTATACAGCACATGCCCCCAAATATAGAGACACTACTCTTGCATATTAAAAAACAAGAGAAGAGGAAGAAAAATATTAGAAAATATAAAAGACTTGAAACAACCATGGGCCTGAAAATAACGGGGAATCCTGATGCAGAACAGTTTATCAGCAAGTACAAGAACACTGGCATACTCAAGCAAAAAGACAAACCAGAATTGGATGCTAGTGTAGGTACATTGTGGACAGGGCAGAAGCCGTGCCCTGTGGACAGCACATGCCACCATGATACAGGAAGAGCTGCTGTCAGGTCAGGTCCTCTGTACCCCCAAAAGACAAAAATGAAGGTGAGGAAACTCCCTGTGTTCCAGCTGCTTTATGTTACAGGATATGGAACCCGAAGCAACAAGAAGGAACCCAGAGGTAACATTAAGGAAGGAAAGGATGAATCACAGCAAGGGAAAACAGTGACAGATTTCCTGCTGAATGATGTTTACAACTGTGGTCAGTTTTCGTGTCAGGTTACAGCGGTTACAGAAGTAAAAGGGGAAAAGGACACACCACAAAAGGCAGCACAGGTTGTTCCACAGCTGAACCTGAAGACATCACTCAGTGAAAAGAAAAGGTCATCTACGCAGATCATTGATAAGAGTGCTAGACCAGGCACCCTCAAGAAACTAGAGCAATATGACTCAGATCAAAAAGAACTCCAGGTTATTTCATTAGACATTTTCCCACGATGTAGAGATTACATAATGATTAGCCCACAAATAGAGAAACCTTTCCATGTGAAATCAAAAGTTGATTTAGAGAGAGATGTAGTATATAGTGGTATATTTCCAAAGAAGATGGAAATCAATGGCAAGATCCGTGATACCACAAGAATTAGAACAAATGAAGAACTCACTAGGGAACCTTGTCATTTAGAAAACATAGGCGAGGTACCTAAGGAAGGAGAAATGTATATTAGCAGAAAAAATGTTTCAAATCTATTGGGAAGAGAAGGATTAAATGACACTGGTCTCTTCCTAAATTCCAAAGACCAGAAATCTCTAGGGGATCTGCACGGAACATGTCCAGATTGGAGAGAACATGCAAAACCAGCTAGCAATCCTAAAAGTGTTCTAGATTCTGTACCTTGCTCCACTAGGAGCCCTCTCCATTTAAAACAGACACCGAGTATGACAAGAGAAAGAAGGGATAATATCTCTATAAATGTCCATGTGAATCCATGCCATGAAGAACAATCCGTGTTAACTGCTATTCCAATCAATTCAAAAAGATGGAAAATGGACTTTTCAGAAAAACCAAGGGTAAAGCAAGTGGACATTTGTAACCAGACGAAAGAAAAAATTCTGGAATCCATTTTCTCATGTGTGTTTCATCAGTTCCACACTACAAATCCAAAGAGACAAGTCCCAGCAGAAGCGATGTTAAATTCATCTGTTTTAGAGAAAGCATCAGATGAAGCCAGTATTACAGCAGATCTTTCTCCATGTACCAGAGGGATTAATGCACATATTAGAGGGAGAAAAGAACATCAAGAAAGTACATCCGAGGCTCTTCCAACATGGGCTTCAAGCTCTCTGATAGATAAGTATCAGATTGCTTCGTCACAACTAACCAAATCACTAAAGCCAACAAACAGTCGACAATACACTTTTAATACAGGAAAGAAGAAACAGAAAGAAAAACATAGAAATGATCATCTTCCAAAGCCTATATCTCATTCCAAAACAGATCTACTTCAAATGACACATGACTATTCAACTCCACAGACCAGAATACCACTAAGAAAAATGGATGTGATAGATGAATATACTCAGCAAAGAAAAAACAGACAGAGTCAATATCACTTGCCCATTTCCTATGAAAGCATCAAGGAGAATACATCATGCTCTGAAAATTATCCCTGTCATTGGCCACATTTAATGCCATGGCTGAAGGGAGTGTTATCTGAAGAAGGTCCTGTTTCAAGCAGGAAAAAAGGACTAGACTTATGTTTTAAAAATCAAACAAGTATAGAATGCTTTGTTCCACCAATGGCAAGGCAAATGAACAAACAAAATGCAATGCTGCCTTTAGAAGCATGCGGTAAAACCATAAAATATTGGAATCCTTTATTCTCTAAAGGAAATCAGTCATCAGATAAACCACAGGTCATTGAGACCATATTAAATAGTAACTCACCCAAGATAAGAGTTACAAAGAAAGGAGACTTACATAAGGCCAAAGAAAAGCAAATAGAAGCATATGTACCTAGTATACTTTTACATTTTCTCTCAATCTGTATACATCTTTGGCATGAAAATAAGAGACAGAACGGTGGCCTAAAAGAGGGAGTTATGAAAGGTATACAATGGCCTGAAAGTAGAGCCCTGAAATCTGTATTTTCAGATACATTTGGTGCCACTGACTGCGATATCCCAAGTGATGGACTAGAAATGCAATGGAACGTCAAAGATAAAACCATAACCATAAAAGAGAGACATGGTGATCAAGATTGGATTGTCACAAAAATAGGTGAGCCCATCCCTTCTTTACCTGACTTCAAATCAGATAAAGAGTCAACTGATGTGATTATCTCCAATAGGATAAAAAGAAAAAAACAAGAAGAGAACGGTGCAAAGGCAGTAGAAATGAAAGGAATAAGGGACTCTGGCATTATTTCAATGACAGAGAAATCCTCACTGTCGCACGTAATCGGAGGAAATGAATTACCTTCGTTATTTAATATTGTGAAACAAGAGAAAAAGGTACAACTAGGTGAAGGTAAATTGGATGTGAAACTGGCAAACACTTGTACTTTCTTACCATCTCCGTGCCATGCTAATTTGAATTCAACAATAAAAGAAAGACAGAATAAATCAAAAATAGTTAGGCATGACCTGCCACCACTGATGTCCCAGACATCATCAAAAGTCAGAGAAGTATCATTTTCAGAGTCGGCCAATCAAAATAATTTAAAGAATGTAATAGAAGTAAAATGTCTGCCACAGAGGAAGAAAAAATGTAAAGAAAATACAGTCAATGTAAAAGATATAATGGACCTTGTATGTAAGACTCTAACAAGGAAAGAGTCACCTTTTAAACACTTACTACATGGAAAGGAACCACGGCTGAACTACAAAAAACAACGTAAGATAGTTCAAGAGAATAAAAATAGTCCAAGTACAGTTCAGAATAAACTGCAGGATTGCGTTCCCTCTTCACCTCGCTTGGAGTGGGATACTAAAATAAATGAAAATTACAAGCAAGGAATAACAAGATTCCATCCTCCATCATCGACACTCCAGAGGTTGTCAGGTACAATAAGAACACCTAAGGAGCCAACGGATACTATTTTAAGCAGCATGAAAAGAGCAAAATGTTTGCCACAGAAAGATAGAGTCAAAATAGCTCCCAAAGAAATAATACAGTCTGAAAGGATAACTGTGGAGAAGAAGCAATCTTCAGTAGTGTATAAATTACAGTTGAATACTGAAAAAGAAGAGAGAAGGATGCAGGATGATGAACAAGGAGAGAGTCTGAGTAAATTTTCCATCTCTCTTCCACTTTATTCTGAAGTCAACACAAAAGTAAAAGGAGAAGAAGCTATGCAAATGAAGGCAAAATCATGCCTTCTACAGCCAAAGCTTCAGGGGTCATCAGCTAGAGATGAAATAACATGTGCACTCTCTGCATCTAGTCCTATCACAAACAGTGTAATAGATGCCATGGAAAAAATAATATACAAAGAAAGGGAGGATGTAAAAGTGGACGAAGTCGTTCCTTTGAAGAAAATGGAATCATCACGCTTACAGGAAATTCAGCAAGACAAAAAAGATCAAGAGAAACAGCAACAAAATGTGGTTCTAACCAATTCCCATGATTGGATACCTTCTTCTCATTTAAAACTGATTTTGAAGATAGAAAAAACTAACCATGGAACTGAAGCAATGAAGTATTCTCTTCCAGAACTAACATGCAAGCTATTATCTGATGAAGTGAGAAAAGCAAGTAAAAAATCTACCAAGGGTAAGATCACAAGCACCAAAAACATAAAAGAATACATACTACAAAAAGAAGAGGATAAAATAAAAATATTAGCCAAGAGAGGCATAGTATATCCAAAAGATAAAGATTTGAAAGGAAATAAAGAGCAAGGGAAAATGGATCCACAAGGCAAAACACAAGCAAAAACTGATGGAGAAGGCAGCAAAGAAAAGAAACGGGATGGCGAAGATCAAGAGGAAATGGAGGGAGAAGGCAGAGAGCAAGGGAAAGTGGATCTACAAGGCCAAGAGCAAGAGAAAATAAATGGAGAGGGTAAAGAACAAGAGGAATGGAATCAAGAAGATAAAGATCAAGGGAAAGTGAATCCAGAAAGTAAGAAAGGGCAAAAGCAGACAGATCCAGAGGGCAAGCCGCAAGGGAAAGCAGATGCAGAAGGTCAGGGATCTGGGAAAAGAGGCCCAGGAGGTGAAAATACAGAGGTAATTATGCATGCACATTTTCATCTTGCACCTTCCCAAATGGATTGTGAATTAGACACAAGCATGAAAGGAGGAGAAGACGTACAAGGAATATTAGGATGTGCCGTTTCACGACTATATCACCAGAAATTGTGTGGTGCGGGCAAGGTGGCACCCGCAATGTCCATTGGGTATGGCAAGTCAAATGACACCAGCACAACACAAGAGCACCAGCCACAGAAAGGGAAAATGGTGTGTATAAAGCATGGAAGGCACTCTGCAGGCACAATTTCCAAGGCAAATCAGTTCCCACTGCCACACGTGCCTCTTATTGCTAGGCACGGTGGCCGTCCACCCAGCAAAAAGACAAATGTCAATGAAAACTTGGGACGTGTGCCAAAGAGAAAAGGTAAACGAGGTGAAGTTCTGACCTTACCTTCTATTCCCTGCAGTAAACCAGACAAAGGAAATAAAGCAAGGGAAGACAAACCAGAACTAACAAAATCCATTCTCCCCTGTACACGGAACATAGAATCGTTGAGTTTAGAGAAACTAAAGTATATTGTGTCACCTTTGATTGACACCTTGGGCAATTCAAAAAGAACAGAAAACCCAATAGAAAAAATACAAGGAGAAATGGACCCAGGAATAATAAAAAGCTGCTTATCACATCTTGCGCTCCCGAAATTATTGCCTGCAAGACAAACGGCATCCACAAAGACCATTGCTAGACAAAAGAGAAACAAAAAAGCATCACTTCCACTAGAAGAAGACAGAGTACAAACTTTAGCTAGAAATGACTTGATACATCCCGATGGCACACTTTCCCAGAAAAATACATCGACATCTCCTTTTATGTCTCTTATCAGTCAGTACAGTATTCTGAGCCAGAGAAAGGAACCACCAAGGAGCGGTAAAGAAAGAGAAGGTCAAATGCAGGAAGAAGCAAGAGCTTCTAATGTGGGTCTGAAGAAAACTGATTCTTCCCTGTCATGTCCTTTGCAAGTAAAACTTCCTGGGTCATCATGTGAGGAAGTCTCGTATGCAGATGTAAACCAAAGTATTAGTTCACAAAGTCTAAGAGTAAAAGTAAATCCACAAAGGCTATGTGAAGAGGCAAAGGACAGGTTGGAAACAGAAGGCACAAAGTGTGGCATAGTCTGTCAAAGAACAACTCTGAGAGTAAAGATACCCCCATCTGCACATATATTTCATAGAAAGATAGTACCTTTGAGTATTAAGGAGCAAAGAAAAGAAGTTCAAGAGGCTAACAGTAAACCTAGAATGGTTCTAAAGAAATCGCCTTCCTTACCTCCTTTGTCTTACTTTAAATGGGATACTAATGTAAATGAAAGGGAGTGTCTGCGAGAAAGAACACAGTTCTCCTTTCCATCACTAACAATTCAGGATGCTGAGTCCATGGACACATTAGATGGCAACAGAAAAGAACTGCTACAGCCCGTAACACAGGAAGAAGAAAAAGAGATGCTCCAAATAGACGTGAAAGACCTTTTGGATCCAACAATAAGGAAGTTGTTATATTCACATATGCTCAGAACTGAAGAGTTGCAAAGGAAAATCAAAGAACAAAAAAGAAAGATGCAGGAACATAAGAACGCACTCATTTCCATTCTGGAAGACAGAATGAAAAAATCATCTTTCACACAATTTCAGTCCAAGAAATCATCAGATAGAGTTAGAATAGCATGTCCAGAAACCATCAATGATGGAGATCTTGCAAATGATTTACAAGAAAAGAATAGAGAAAAAGTTGTAAGAACGAACAGTGTAGCGGTCACCACAGATATGTATTTAAAGACAAAGAAATCCCCTATTTTAAAAGCATGCAATTTCAGCAGCCTTCAGGGGAAAACTAAAGAGCAAGAGAGAAAGACGCAAGAAGGCAAAAGGGAGCCAAATTTGACGCCCACTAAGATCTCTACTGCTGGATGTTATCTACCTCTGCTTAGCATGTGTGCGGGAGCAGGAATGGAAGAAAAAAGAAGACTAATGTCAACAAGCTCCTCTCTGCCCACAGCAAAGGACCTGAAAGCAACTGGACATGACGACAACATGTATTTAAAGACAGTTACTGGTGATGTTCTAATCAATCTACAATGTAGAAAACAACATATGCTACAGAATAAGGAAGAAGATGAGGGTCAAATAGGAGATATTCCAGTATTCCCCAAATATCAAGAAATGAAGGGAAAAAAATGCAAAGATGAACCATGTATGGGTCTTACCAAGCCTGCCACTTCATTACTGTGTCTGCCTCAGCTCCAGTTACAGAAAAACATAGAATTAGGTGACGGAATGCTAAGACTTACAAGATCCTTGCTGAGAATATTAGAAACAGGAGAAGCAACGCTTTGGGAGACGACTGGAGGAGATAGCATGAAAGAGGTTGCCAATCAACACATGTTTCAGAAAGGAAAGACAGACAGAAAAGAGACCATAAAGAAGAGATGCCCAGATATAATTATGAAGGGAAAGAAATCACTTCCTTCCTATAAGCTCCATAGAACAGAACTGCATATAGATATCAAAGGGCACAAGGGAAATGAACAAGAAGAACAAGATGAACCACAAGCTCTGATTCTAAGAAAAAATCATCCTTCTAAATCTTCTTTACCTAACCTTAAGCGAGATGAAAGTTTACAAGTAGATGAAGAAAAGATTGGAAGCAAAACGTCTCTACTTCCATTAATAGTTAAAGCATTCTCTAATGTGGAGAAAATAGCAGACACAGAGCCTGTGTATGGTGATGCCAGAAAAGGCAAACCATATAGGACCCCAAAAGAAGGAGGATTTGAAATGACGACCACAGACATGACAATCAGGGTACATTGCAAAGGGCCTGCAAGTTCACCAATTCCACATATTCTTAATACAAAAGGATTCGCCCTGAATATGAAGGTACGGGAGAAAAAAGTGCACGATCATAAGGGTGAACCACATGTGATTCTGTCAAAGACTTTCCTTTACACACCGTCAGCATGTCTCTGTACTCTGGAGTCAGGGGACAAAATAGACAAAGACGTGAGTGGGATCTCAGGAGCCTGTTTTCCACAGCTACATCTCCAGGAATCATCAGACATCATGGAAACAGCCAATAGAGAGTTAATTGATGGTAATAATAAAAACGTTAAAAAATCAGCACAGAAAGAGAGAGAGAAGCAGTGTAGCTCAGACTTCATGGACGATGCCCAGCAAAGGAGTGAACCTTCAAAAGTTAGATCAGAAAAGGATGAGAAAATGTACTTCACTGGATTTGGTACTATCAGACACAGGAAACTGCTGGAATTGCACTTGATGGCTCAACAGGAGAATGAACCTGAAAAATATAAGAAAGAACATGGAGCCGCCTTTAACTCCTACCCCGCAACTGCAAACCTGAAAAGACAAATTGACGTTAGCAATCATTCTAGCCAAAAGAGAAGTGGTAAGGTTCCTATTGCGCTGCCAAGGCAGACAGCCAAGCGAATGTGTGTCACCTTTGGCACCCCTGTAAGTTTAAAAGGATTTTCTGTGGCAGAGAGAGAGACCCACCAACAGGAGACGGTATCCAAAGTATCTCCAGAATCCGTGGATTCATTAAAATTGTATAACCCAAAGAAAGATGGACAAGGGAGTGATAAAATAATCAAAATGTTGTCTCCCCAAAAGTTAGGATCACTTGAAAAAATGAATACCACCAAGTTGATTACCCCTCAAAAACTAGAAAAGCAAGATACCATTATGGAAAAGCAAATAATGTTGCATTCCAAAAGTGGTCACAAGACTAGGTCAAACTCTACCCTTTCTGTTAAGTTTCCATCTCGGGATAGGAAGCCGGAGACAACATTGGAGATAGATGTGGACAGGAAAACTACATTGTACACCAGTCTACCAATACTACCAGGCGTACACATGCAGATCACAGAATTTAATGCCCTAAGAAGAAAAGAAGATCTGACACTGCTTGGTCCAGAACAGGGAGCATGTGTTCTGGAATTCCTTCAGAAGTCCCTTAAACCACTCTGGACTTGTCTGTTTCAGTCTGAACACCTAGAGGAAATAAAGAAGGAAACGAACAAGATCACCTCTGTCAATCTGGAACAGCAAAAACAAATTGAGACTCAAGTAATCACTCATACGGAGAACAACTGCCCAGGCCAACAAACACAAGAAAAGGAGCAAGAATTGTCTGGCATAAAACAAAACCTCCAACTTCAAGAATCACTTCAAAGAAATGTTGTGGATTCCTTTTGTGCGTCCATCCCTCTTTCCCTTAAAAGACAGAAAATAAGACCCACAAGTCTGAAAACAGAGCCGAGGCCCAGTAAGAAAACTGCAAGTTTTGGTTTCACTAGACAAAGTACTCCTATAAATAAAATAGAATATACCTTCAAAAGAACACAGAATACGATTTTATGGAATAAAAATAGCCCAAGAATCGTTATCAGAAACCTTTCCATTTCCATGAGACCACCTCATACAAAAGAACTGGAGACAAACCTAGGAAGTGAACAGAGACCTTGCCTTTCTAAGTTCAAGGAGAAATCAGCGAACACAAGTAAAATCAAGAGGGAAACCTTTACAGTTGTAAAAGAAAAACTGAATACTACCAATACAATCCCACAGTATTCCCAGCCTTATGTGGTGAATGAACCACAAACACAGCCACTTCCTCAAGTCAAAGCAGAAGCCAACCTTAAAAACGAAAGAAGTCAAAACAAATTAACTCCCAGTACAGGAGAAAAGATTGCTCCGGGGCAAGGTGACAGGATTATTAAAAAGCTCAACTTGCATATCATTGAGCAGGAAGACAAGATACCAAAATGTATTCTCTTGCACACAGAGTGTCCCTTTACATTTGAAGATCAAAAGACAATTGCAGAAGCCCATCTGAAAAGGACCAGGCGTATGACTATTAGAGAAGAACCACAGTGTGGAACTCAGCTGCTCAAAACCAGAGAGTACACCTTGCTTCCCCAAGAAAGAGACCCAGGCGGACCCAGCTGTGGTTCCACACGAGACATTCAGCGGCAAGAAGCTATTCCAGGGACCGTGCCTCGAATTCAAAACGATGAAGTCAAAACACTTGCAGATGGTGCAGGTGCAGAGCGTTCGTTTCCAATTTGTGAAGCAATTAAAACCCTCTGTGACTCCCATGTCAGAACTAGGATCCAAGACAAAGTTTCTTCCGACAGACTGGGGAAATTCCAAGACTATGAGCCTGCTGACACGACATCACTGCCATCTCCAGAGAGTTCACCGGCCTGGCCAACCATCCCCGATTCCAAACCCAAAGCCATTTTGCAATATTTTACTCCCGAAGAAAAAAACAAGCTCGCCAATTACCTTGATTCAAAAGTTATGGAAATAAAATGCAATCTGATGCCAGAGAGAGCAAAAGCCTCCTTCCAGAAGTTTAGCTTTTATTCTAAAGGGGATATTTTAGAAGAGAACAGCTGGAAACTCGATCTAAGACAGAAGAATTTGAGTTTTAGGTCCCCAGAAAGGGTTGAGGCTGTTGAACTTAACTTAGAAGAAAATTACCCAAAAGACTATCCTCTTCACAGCTGTGTGGAGACGCCGATTGCTCGTGCTAAGTGTGATGATAGACAGCCCATCCCAATGCCACGGACTATTCCACAGCCAGACAGTGGAACATCTTCCAAAGTGTCAGCTCCGGATCATCCAGCGACTCATGTTCTCCAGAGCTATTCAGCAAAACAAAGAGATAAACTCCTCATGCACCTTTCTATGAAAACCCTGGAAATACAGATGAAAGCCCTGTCCAGAATTGTTAGAGAATCCTGTGCGATGGCCAATGCCCAGGACAGAAAGAACCCTTCCCCCAGCAGCTGTCTTCACTCTGCTGTCAAAGCGCCAAAGCGGAAAAACAGAATTTTATTACTGTTTGAGGAAAAATCTCTTCATCAAATAGACCTGGATTTACAGTACAAATACCTCCGCTTTCACCTGGGGCTTTCTGTTGAAAGTACGTTCCGAAAGCCAAATGCTCTTCCCCATCGTCCTCTGAACATGCCCACGATTTCACCAGGTAAACAAGTAGATGAGAGCAGAGAGCGTGGTGCTCTTTCCTCCGATCCACCGAGGTTAGAGCCGCGGATTCCTCTCGACAAGACAAGTTTCCAGGAGAATCCATTACTCTTCACAAAAGCCCTGGAGCCGGTGAAAGCGTGTGCTCTTCCAACCCAGCTACGTGAGGTGCTGCAGAAAGACACTAGAGCCCCTTCCCTGTTAAGACCCTGCGTGACCCCAGAGAAAGAGAAGCGCTATAGTGTACGCTTTCAAGAACCGAATACCCAGAAACCTCTCCATGTAAGAACTCAGGCAAACGCTAGTGGTTTGGAGGATTCCCATTCAGCTCAGATTTCTAACGACTTCTCTCATCAGATAAGCACCGAGAGTTCAGCTACCTTGGGGAAATGCCCGACTTCTGAGGGAAGTGAGGATGAGGAGTGTACGATTTTAGCTGGCATTTTACCCAAGGCTTCCCAGAACATTATATTCGAATTACAGAAAGACGTTCCTTTGGGAGATCTCTGCAAGAGGAAAGAAGTGGCTTATTTGAAGCCATTGTACAGCCAAGTTTCAGGGGACCGTCATAAGACGGCTTCTAGAAAACACACCTTAATAATGTCCCCATCTCCTGTTGGATCTCACAAAAGCGGGAAGTACAGAGCATCCTCTAAACATCTATATCCGGACAGCTTGTGTCGGAATTCACCAAACGCTGTGGAAGTTCACTCCGTGCCATCTGTATCATGTAATGAAGAGAAACCTCCATGGACGGCATTGAGCACAGCAAATCCCTCTTCCACTTCCTCCTTGGAATCAAATATTCCGTTACATCCTGGAAAAAAACACCACATGCATCCAGAAAGCAAAGGAAGAAAGAAGACCACATTTGACGTATTTCGAAAGCACAGTGAGCCCCATCAGCCCCCTAGTATAGAGAAACACATAAGAAGGAAGGAAGTCCATGATTATGAGTCAGAAAGACTGACCTCTTCCCAAAGCAAAGATGGACCAGCAACAAAACTTCATCACAGGGGCATCAACTTCAGTTCAGAGAAACTACAGCAACCCTTTTTCTACGCGTGTATGCCTGCAGACACGTTAGAGGTTGTACCCCAGACTGTTCGCTGGACTATTCCCTCAAGAACCTTAAGGAAGAGAAACTTCAAAGTGCCCCTGGTGGCAAAGATTACGAATTCCTGGAAGATGTGGGGTTCACCAAGATAGTTGTTGGGGTCCTTAAAGTGCATTTCTTCAAAGCTAATATTATCATGTATACATTCCTTTACACCGGAATGCTGGTTGCTATGGTAACGGAAAATAAAGATGGATATCTAATAGTTGGCTCATGGAGTGTTTCCTCGGTGGATATGTGTGTTATTTCAGAAATCGAATTGTGCAGTTGTGGAGGGAGGCCAGGATGAGTGAGGAGATGGCTTTGGTTTGGCACTTACCAGACTGAGCCCTCCTTTTAACTGCTGCGGTCACCTGGTCATGGAGGAGCATCCTACAGGCGCTCAACCACCAAGGGTCAGGATGAGGAGTTGTAAACTACCTGAGATGGGGAATGTCTAGACAGCTAGGACAAAGAGAACGTAGGGAGAAGGTAAAGTGCGTTAGAAAATAGCAGTCAGATCAAATGCCACTAATTATGGGATGACATGAAGTAGCAAGTATTTTAATACTTTCGATTATAGAGAACTTTGATAACACAGACGGAAGGAGTGGGAAGGGAGCGAAGGGAGAGAGGAAGAGAGAAGAGAGAAGGAAGGGAGAAGAGAAGGTGGGAGAAGAGGGAGAAAGGAAGGGTAAAAGGGGAGGAAGGGCTCTCTCTAAGCCTCTTCAAGAAGGACTTAGAGTGGATACTACTTCTTTTGGCATATTTGCTATTATTTCTGCAATCGCTAAAAACTGACAAATTATGTCAAATAGAAAGGACTATGGGACTAGTAGTTCACACCATGTCCAGCAGATGTCACTGTGTTCCCCTCTCAAGCCCAAACTCCACAGGTTTAGAATCTCAGCCTTAAGTTCTTATCAGTGCTCATATTTCTGTGGTCTGTTCAGATAATAGGACAGAGGAAGTGTTATGAGTAGGAAAAGGGTAAATTGAAAATAGTGAGACCCTAAAGCTGGGTTCATTGTTTTTACCACCAGATTACCCTACATACATGAGCCACTTTAATTAGACTCACTTTTCATTTTTAATAATGAAGGTCTGAGTGGCATTAGTGCATTATGGTAGTCTGTGAGTACTCACGTGTTTACATGCCTCGTCTCTTTTCTTCCCTCCTCAAGCCTTGAACACCTTCTCTGCATCTTTAGAAGCAAACGACTGTTGAGAGCTGACTTCTCAGATGCCTTGCCAATATTTTCCTCCTTGTAGTTCTACTTTGAGGTGGCAATAACAAAGTATCTTAGACTCTGCAACTTACAAAGGTCATAAAATTAAGTTCTGGAGGCTTGGAAATCCAAGGTCAAGGCGGCGGCTGATTACATGTCTAGCAGAGGCCAATTCCTCATAGACAGTTTGTTCTTTTTTTTTTTGTGTGTCAGACATGGGGCTTGAACTCTGGGTGTGGGCACTGTCCCTCAGCTCTTCAGCTCAAGGCAAACACTCTATCACTTGAGCCACAGCACCACTTCCGGTTTTCTGGTGGTTTATTGGTGATAAGAATCTCATAGCCGGGGCTGGGAAGGTAGCTCAGTGGTAGAGTGCTTGCCTTGCATGCCTGAGACCCTGGGTTTGATTCCTCAGCACTGCATAAGATAAAAGAAAAAAGCCGGAAGTGGCGCTGTGGCTCAAGTGGTAGAGCGCTAGCCTTGAGCTGAAGAGCTAAGGGACAGCGCCCAGGCCCAGAGTTCAGACCCCATGACCGGACCCCCCCCCCAAAAAAAAGAAAAAGAATCTTGTAGCCTTTCCTACCCGGGCTAGCTTTGAACCTCGATCCTCAGATCTCAGCCTCCCACATAGTTAGGATTACAGGCTTGAGCCACCAACTCCCAGCGACAGTTTGTTCTTATTGCATCCTCACATGGTAGAAGGAAAAAGAGGTGAACAGAATTCTATTCCCATCCATGAGAGCACTGCCTCATCACCTAAAACACTGCTGAAAGACCCTATCTCAGAGACTGAAGTAGGAATTAAGCTCCAACATGAACTTTGGGAGACTTTGAAAGGTCAAACCATAACATCCATCTATTCCAACTTACTCTAAGCATTTCTCCCTTACGACGTCAGCATTCTTTCATGCGCTTCCCATCATTTCTAACAGCCTACGTGCCTTCGTTTCTTTCTTCTAAATAAAAAGCATCTCTTCACCCTCTCATTAACTCATTTTCTCTCTGCAACAAAAGGTCTCAGAATTTTCTCTCCCTCATAATACAATTTAAAGATTTTGTTGTTTTTAAAATTCAATGTTGCTATTAATTCTTATTTGTTTCCTTTTCCTTTGGTGCTGGGGATTGAACCTAGGGACTCAAGAATTCAGAAGAGGGCTGGGAAGGTGGCTCAGTGGTAGAGCGCTTGCCTTGCATGCCTGAGGCCCTGGGTTCGATTCCTCAGCACCACATAAGCAAAAAGATAAAAGCTGGAAGTGAGCAAAACAGTTATTTAGGGAGGAAAAGTGGCTAACCTAGATTTTAAAAAAAAGAATGGAAAAAAGAATGATTCTAAATAAGATGCTTTAAGTTTTGATGGCACTACAGCATTCACAAGTGCTCTCTGATCCTTTTTCTCACTGTGCCAGGAGAGCTATAAAAAGGCAGGCTATATTTGGGTCCTTGTCAACGTCCAGGCTGCTGCTGCGGCAGCAGGTCTGAAGTGGCAGGGCTAATGTGGAGTGCAGCAGTCCACAGCTCCCCGGGACTGGTGGACAGCAGAAATCCTCGATGAACTGCACACGAAATCACAGCTACTCTCTTGGAAGGGAAAGGATGATGACATTCTCATGTTCTGTCCGGTTGATCTCTGGCTTCAGAGAGGGGCTGTGGGATAAGAAAGTGCTATTTTCCATGCCTGTGTAATTGAGTTTTTCTGATCTCGTTGCCTGTGCATGGAGGCATGCTGCAATCCTTCCTTGGGAAATCACTTGTGGTGGCTCATCTGTCAGGAATGGAAATATGATCCCGTGCTGGAGCCCTCATAATGCCCTCGAGACGGCGACACAGGGCAGAGCACCAAGGCTGTGGCAATTTGCCTGCTCTTCCACTAGCCTGCGATTCAGGGTTTCAGCTTGCATCTACTTGGTGACTGATGTCTGAGTTTCACTCAAGGTTTCCTACAAACACTGGGAGACAGGATTTGTACAACAGCTACCTGTTAGACTTCCTCTGGGGGAACTAATCCTGAACATGCTCCATTATCACCAAGTCTCCACTGAAATATTAAATGGTAAAGACTTGTTACTGTTTCCTGTTGTTCCAAGTTTGTTTGTCTTTTTCCATATGGATTTTGTTTTTATTTTATTATTTTATTTTATTGCCAGTCCTGGGGCTTGAACTCAGGGCCTGGGCACTATCCCTGAGCTGCTTTTGCTCGAGGCTAGGGCTCTACCACTTGTGCCACCGGTGCCACTTCTGGCATTTTTCTTTTTGTCAGTCATGGGGCTTGAACTCTGGACCTGGGTGCTGTCCCTGAGCCTTGCAGCTCAAGGTGAGCACTCTACCATTTGAGCCACTTCCTGTTTTCTGGTGGCTAATTGGAGATAAAAGTCTCACAGGCTTTCCTGCCTGGGCTGGTTTTGAACTATGATCCTCAGATCTCAGCCCCTTGAATAACTAGGATTATAGGTGTGAACCACCGGTGTCTGGCCAAGAAACAACTTCTAAGTTTGTTGAGTCTTTGTAAATTTTTGTTTTTGTTTTTGTTCTTGTTTTTTTTTTGGGGGGGGAGTCTGGTTGTGGGACCTGAACTCTGGGCCTGGGCACTGTCCCTCAGCTCTTCAGCTCAAGGCTAGCGCTCTACCACTTGAGCCACAGCGCCACTTCCAGCTTTTTTCTTTTTGCTTATGTCGTGCTGAGGAATCAAACCCAGGGCCTCAGGCATGCAAGGCAAGCAGTCTACCACTGAGACACCTTCCCAGTCCTGTTTTTTAATTTTAGTGTCTATTAACTTCTGCCCTAATTTTTATTACTTCTTTAGGTTTGGCTTTAAGAGTTTGAGATGCATCATTATGGTATTAACTTGAGATATATCTATTTTGTTGATGCACTCATGACTATAAACTTTCCTTTGCTGTGTCCCAAAGGTAAGTTGTGTATTCATTTTCATTGGATTCTAGGAATTTGTTTTTATTCCCCCTCTTATCTCTCCAGTCTCCATGTATGTGTTTTCTAGAGTTGATTGTTGTTGTTGGGTTTTTTTTCCAGTCTTCCGTGGAGCTTGAACTCAAGGCACTGCTGTCTCTGAGCGCTTTTGCTTAAGGGTAGTGCTCTACCACTTTGAGCTATGGCTCCACTTCTGGTTTTCTGGAAGTAAGAGTCATCTAGACTTTGCTTCCCCAGGCTGGCTTTGAACCCTAATCCTTAGATCTCAGCCTCCTGAGTAGCTAGGATTACAGGCATGAGCCCCCAGTGTCCAGCTGTTTGGTGTGTTTTTTATTTTACAGTTGACTTCTAATTTTATTCTGTTACGGTCAAACAGACTACAGGGAGTCATTTTAATTTTTTTCACATTTACCATGACTTCATGACCTGGAATATGGTCTATTTTGAAGAATGTTTCATGGGGCTGCTGAGAAGAATGTGTAATGTCAGCTGTAGGATGAAGTAGTTGATGTCAGTTAGATCCAGTGGGTTGATGGTGTCATATAAGTCTGTTGAGTGTTTGCCTTCGTGACTTATGTACTGGTGAGAGAAGGATATTAACATCTCCAACTGTCATCGTGTTGGGTCTGTGTCCATTTAAAAATCTAATAGTATTGAACAAGTTAGACACGCTTGCATTTGGTACATAGATGTTAAGAATTGCTGTCTTCTTCATGGAAAGTTCTCTTTATTAATAGGAAGTGGCCATCTTTGTCTCTTATGACTCATTTTGATTTGAAATCTCCTCTGGAAGATAGGAATAAACATAGTTACTTCTACTTATTTTTGAGACCCATTTGCTTAGAAGACTTCTTTTTTTATCAACTTTTCACCTTAAGTGTTTTTTTTTTTTTCCGTCAGATAGATGTATTTCTTTAGACAACTGATGGTTGGGTCTTTTTTGTGTGTCCATTTTTAAG